AAATTAAATAGGAGGTAAAAAAGCAATTTGATGTAGGATTTTTGGAGGTGGCAAAATATCCTAAATAGGTAGCCAACATAGTACCAGTTTTCAAGAAGGATGAACAAGTGAGAATGTATGTCAATTATCGAGACCTAAATAAGGTAAGTCCCAAGGATAACTTTCCTCTACCCCATATTAATACTATAGTAGATAATACTACTAGGCACTCCATATTTTTCTTTATGGATAGCTTTTCAGGTTATAATCAGATCAAGATGGCTCGAGATGATATGGAGAAAACTATATTTGTGATCGTGTGGAGGACATTTTGTTACAAAGTCATGCCTTTTAGGTTAAAAAATGCTAGTGCCACTTATCAAAGAGTAATGGTGACTCTCTTCTATGACATGATGCATAAAGAAATAGAGGTATATGTGGATGATATGATTGTGAAATCTCGTGAAGGAGAAGATAATGTAGTCAATCTCAAAAAGCTATTTGACAGGTTATGAAGATTTTAGCTGAAGTTAAATCTTGCTAAATGTACATTTGGTGCCAAGTCAAGAAAACTATTAGGCTTTATGGTCAGTGAAAGAGGAATCGAAGTAGACCCGGATAAGATACAAGCTATCCAAAACTTATCTCATCCTCGTACCCTAAAAGAAGTGTGAGGTTTTCTAGAGAGACTGAACTATATTACTCGTTTCATCTCTTAACTTACCTACAAGTGCGATCCTATTTTAAAACTTCTTAGAAAATATGATCCAGGAGAATGGAATGATGAATGCTAAGAAGCTTTTAACAAAATCAAAGAATACTTATCAAATCCATCCACATTGGTACCACTTGTTCCAAGAAAGCCTTTGATCTTATACTTAATGATACATGAAAATTTCATGGGATGTGTGCTGGGGCAAAGAGATGAAACTGACAAAAAAAATGAGCAATATACTGTTGAACAAAAAATTCACTGATTATGAGTCCAAGTATTCACCATTAGAGAAGCTATATTATGCATTAGCCTGGACAACTCGAAGGCTTGACAATACATGCTTTATCACACTACTTGGCTCATAGCAAAGCTGGATCCTATTAAGTATATCTTTGAAAAGCCTTCATTGACAGGAAAGATAGCATGGTGGCAAGTTATGCTTTCAGAATATGATATCATTTATGTGACTTAAAAAGCTATAAAAAGAAGTGTCGTAACCGAGTTCCTTGCTGATCGTGCTATCAAAAATTATGAACCAATGAACCTGGAGTTCCCTGATGAAGATGTGATGGCTATTGAAGAAAATGAACTTGTTGAAAAGTCTTGGAGGATGTATTTTGATAGAGCTGCTAATGCTTTGGGTCATGGTATCAGGGTAATTTTAATACTCCTGATAGGCATTATTATCCCATTACAACCAGGTTAAGTTTTAATTGCACAAATAATGTAGCTGAGTATAAGGCCTGTGTTATGGGTCTGCAAGTAGCAATTAAAAAGAAAATCAAAGTATTAGATGTGTTTGGAGATTCAGCTCTAGTCATCGATCAATTGCAAGGAGAATGGGAAACCAAAGATTCCAAGTTGATACGGTACCATAAGTACATCTCTCAGTTGGTCAAACAATTCGAAGACTTTTAATTTGAGCATTTGCTTAGAGAGGAAAACCAAATTGTTGATGCACTGGCTACTCTAGCTACAATGATTAAAATAGATGCAAATACTGAAATCCAACCCATCAAGCTAGATGTGAAAGATGAACCAGTACATTGTTCAGGTGTTGAAGAAGAAGTTGAAGGGAAACCATGGTATCATGACAGCATGTAATACATTAAAAGCCAGCAATACCCAAAACATGTAACAGAAAATCATAAGAGAACTATTAGAAGGTTGGCTATGAGTTTCTTTCTCAATAAAGATGTCTTCTATAAAAAAGTCGAGATCAAGTACTCTTAAGGTGTGTGAATATAGCTAAAGCGAAGAGGATTATTAAAGAAGTGCATCATAGAGTTTGTGGGGCACATGCAAATGGTCATATGATGGCTAGACAAATTATGAGGATTGGGTACTATTGGTTGATAATGGAGAGTGACTGTATTGATTATGCCAGAAAATGCCATAAGTGTCAGATCTATACTAACAAGATCTACACTCTTCTAACAGCATTGCATGTTTTGACTTCTAAATGGCCATTCTCTATGTAGGGTATGGATATTATCGGTCCCATCACTCCAAAAGCTTCAAATGGATATAGATTCATTTTTGTGATGATTAATTACTTTACAAAATGGGTAAAAACTACATCATACGCTAGTGTGACCTGATCTATGCTATGCAAATTCATAAAAAAGAGATAATATGCAGATATGGGCTTTCAGAGATAATTATTTCTGATAATGCCAAAAATTTGAATAGCAAGATGATGAATGAAGTTTGCACCCAGTTCAAGATTCGTCAATGTAATTCAGCACCATATCATCCAAAGATGAATGGGGCAGTAGAGGCTGCAAACATGAACATCAAAAAAATCTTGAAGAAAATAACTATACTTATAAAGATTGGCATGAAAAGTTACCTTTTGCTTTGCATGCTTATAGAACATCAGTCCGAATATCTACTGGGGCCACTCCGTTCTCTTTGGTATATAGAATGGAAGCTGTGCTACCAATTGAAGTGAAGATTCTCTCGCTGAGAGTCCTGATGGAGGTAGAATTAGAGGAAGCAGAATGGGTTCGAAATCGCTACGAGTAGTTGAACCTCATTGAAGAGAAAAGACTTACAACACTTTGTCATTATCAATTATATCAAAAGAGAATGATGAGAGCACATGATAAGAAAATCTATCCCCGTTGCTTTAGGGAAGGAGATTTAGTGTTGAAATAGATCCTACCAAATCAATATAATAATCGATGAAAATGGACACCAAATTGGGAAGGCCCGTATGTGGTGAAAAAGGTCTTTTCTGATGGGGCATTGATTTTGGCAGAAATGGACAAAAATGATTTACCTACTCCGATAAATTCAGATGCTGTGAAAAATATTTTGCTTCAAAGAAAAAAAAGTAAATAATGAAAAATAATGACTTATCTAAGCTGAAAACCTGAAAAAGGTGACTTGGATGCGAAGAAGAAGCATCATTCCATAATACAGGGGCAAGTATAGTTTGATAAACTTTGAAGGATCAAGGAAGTCATCTAATTTAGTTTTAGAAAAAGAATTTGGGAATATTTATTCATGATTATCTTATGGTCATTATTTGAGCACCTTTGTTTCAACCTTAATACTTTAACATGCACTTGTTACCAGTCTAATAAAATATGCCATCTTTCTTTTGAAAATAACACCTATCTATTCCTTTATTCTCATTTTTTGTCCACCATACGAATAAAAGAAATGTGTGATTGCATTTTATTGGACTTAGACTTAAAATGATGAAAAGAAAACAAACATGAAAGATCTTAGCATTACTTTTTAAAAGTTGACAAAGGCAAATGAAAAAAGATAAGAAAAGCATGACAAGATATTGATGTTGCAGACTTTTGAAGAAGAAAAATATTATGGTCAGATGTTAAAAACATATTGGTCATATAAAAATTTTGATAAAAGAAGTTAAAAAGCGAGAGATTTCGAAAACCTTTTTACTACAATGAATAATTTTGATTGCATTACATGCATTGTATTTAGAGCACTCAGTACATGCATCCATGAACAGTTTTAATAAGGATAGAGACTTTCTATTTCTTAATGAAAAATAAGATCAAACAAAAGATTTCAAAAGAGAAAAATTTACTTGTTCAAAGATGAGAACTCGATTTGAAGAACATATGAGATTTTAAAGTTGTTAAGCCTCTGTTGAGAGGAGCTTTTCTAAGATAAGAATTTTTTAAATTGTTGAGCCTCTGCTAAGAGGAGCTTTTTCAAGATAAGTTTTTTAAGTTGTAGAGCCTCTGCTAAGAATAGCCCTTTTCAAGATGATTTTTAAAGTTATTGAGCCTTTACTGAAATGAGCTTTTCCAAAATGAAAATTTTAAAAGCTGTTGAGCCACTACTCAGAAGAGCTTTTCCAAAATGAAAATTCTTAAAGTTATTAAGCCTCTGCTGAGATGAGCTTTTTTCAAAATAAAAATTTTAAAAGTTGTTGAGCCTCTACTAAGAAGAGCCTTTTAAATTTTCAAAAATATCGATTGAACCTCTGTTTATAGGAGCCCTTTTCAAAAAAACAAAAAAATAAAAAATTTATGATCAATATTTTTTTCTTTTAGAACAAAATGGTTATTTGTTTGTCTTTGCCTTATTCCTGATTCTCAGAAATAGGCAAAGAAGGGTAACTGTAAACATCATTTTTTAAATTATTATTATTATTATTATTTATTTAATTTTTTTTATTTTTGTTTTCTTTTTTTTCTTTCTTATTTCTTTCCTTATTTCTTTTTCCTTTTTCTTCTTTTTTATCTGATTCAAGTTGACTAAGCATAAGTGCATTAAATGCATTCTCCCTAAAATCCAAAACCACCACCGATAGCCACCAACACTAGCCAACGTGTGAATATCAACTTATCACGCCAGTTAAAAAAATAAGACTCGAATCCCTAAAGATCTGAGATTTGAATCCCAACAAACTCTATCATCAGATTCAGAGAGGAGGCCCATTTGATTGCTTGCTTCTGTTCAATTATAATCGGGACGACGCGTGGCAGGCATGGTGATTACTTTATTCATTATTTAGTCAACTTCAAAGCCAAAGTAATTGTTCTTTTAAGGCGTGACCGACCCTTGTACACGTGCCATTTTATATTTTCCCCTTTCTTTTCTGGTGCTTATTCTCATTTCCCGTGTAGTTTCCTTGTACTTTTTATTGCATAAGTTTATGAATTACTGCCACTTATCATCTCGTCATTTTTTTCAAACCTTCATTAATAAAGGTCATTAGTTTGATTTCGAACTTTACCTGAACTTCATTCCTCTTCGATGATTGATCTCTCATCTATGATTTCAAAGACGATCGATTTAATTCATTCAAAATTTTATTATTGAAACACTTTTTGTAAGTACGAAGCCTTTGACAAAAAATTATTCCTATTCTACTAATTGAGCAAACACAATAAGAGAGGTACTACTTCCTTACCAATACATTGATTACATTAACCGAATAAAATCCATTGGGAAATGAAATGGGTTTCATTTGATTTTTTTTTTTTTTTTTCCTTTTTGCGACTAAACAGATTCCCGAGAGCTGATTAGGTACCAGCCTAGAAATTTGGATGCGAGAAGTGCTGAAGACGTAAAGGAAGCGACATATCAGTAGAATAATAGTGCTGATGACTTAAAGGAAGCGACATATGCATGAGAATATAAGCAGATCGTCTTCAAACACTGCATCGCGAATATCTCCGTAAAGACATCTACAAAGTTAAATCAAGAACAAGCAGAATCAATGACCGGTGCGTTACGTTACTTTCATGAAACTCGATATAATTATTTTCAGTAAAAAACTCAAACGCACCCAAACTCGATTCTAGCATTGACGAGCCCAAAGGGAAGACCACCTGAGTGTGAGAGCAAGTGAAAAACAACCTGAACTTTGACGTCTCATTTGAAAATTGCCAAAATATATTGCACAGATCATCCATTTGTCTAAAGTCTAAATATATTTCAATCCGGAGATATAATGCTGTCTAGATATTAAATACTGGCCCAGGGAATAAATAATTCCTAAAAACCCCAAAACCCTAATCTTAGTCAAATCCGTTATTAAGATGGAAGCCAGATTTAGGGGCAATGTTAGCAGTGGTATCGAATCTGTCTGCTTTGAGTAACTCCATACAAACCGGTTGAACAGGATGTGGCTCGGGAAGGTAAGAATCAGGAGGGTTAGATTCTTGACTGCAAAGAACCAACCAGGACCCCCAATTTCAATGTCCCACCCAGCATTTCCATGCCATACTTCTTCCAGTATGCTATATAGTGTGGTCAAAACCAAATAGACTGATATGACCACTATAACAGGGAAATATCTTTGCTTGTCCCCAAATCCAGCAACAAAATCAGAGTCCTGGTTGAGCAGCAGTAATATAGGAGCCAGGAAGAATATTGCCTGATTTGATCCACCAGTGAGATTGACATTGAGGATCAGGCATATGGCAAAGCACATCACAGTAGCAACGTTACCAACCGCGGGCATCCATGCCCCTTCAGCAGCCATCCTTTTAATTGTGAAGGTTGGCACAGCAGAGGCACGGCGTTGTTGCATGAACCTCATTCGTGGTGGTAATGCCGCACAATTGCTTTGAACAGACTGATTGTGTCTAACTGCACCCCTCTCAAGAGTCTTTTCCTGTATAAGTGATGCAAGTTCGTATTTTATTTCCAAAGCTATAAGCATAAAGATTGCTGCATACAGACCAAGAAGAGATGTCCTTGCCCCCTCAACAGCCAATAGAGTTGTAAGCTTCCTGTCTTCCTCACCGTTGCCCCCAAATTCATTATCTCCAAGGAAGCTTTTAATTCTCACTTGACCTTCTAATAGGTAAGTCACAGGAAATAGAGCCACAAGGAGGGCAAACACCCATGGTAGGAGCTTTGTGCTGGAGGCAGATGGAAAATGGGTGAAGATCACAAAAACAGATGCACAAACCATTGTTACAATGATGAGGGCATGAAGGACAGCAGCCTGAAGGAAAAACTCAGCAGATATATAAACACCAAGAGCAATACCCATTGCAATGGAGTAAAATGCTCTCAACTCTACAATGTACTTAATGGGTATGATGGACGTCATAGCAGCTAAAGTGAGAAGAATTGCCAATATAAGGAGCCAAGAGGGCCAACTAGGTTTTGATGCCATGAAGCCATATATGGAAATATCATCAGCAGACTGACGTGCAGCTTTGATTAGGTCGGATCGATAAGTCCATGTTAATGGAATTGGTGGCTGCATTAGGATAAACAGGAGACCTGTTGCCACCACCAATACAATGCATCGCTTTGCAGACTGCATAATCATGACAGGAAAATAATCTAAGTACGATCATTTTTTGTGAAAAAAAAAAAAAACCTTTGTGATACATTACTTAAATACATTTCATTTGAAGCACAAAACAACCATCATTTCTCATTTGAGTTTATGCATCAACTAAGCACTACATCAACTATGATATTCAATTCCACAAGATAAAAGCATGTGTCGAATAGTTTAATTTGCCTGCTCAGTTATTAGTTAGAAGGTGGGTCTTTTAGAGCATCAGGAGTAGAGAAGGTATCAAAAGCATGACTGAGTCGTTAAACACCATTTCTAGTTAAATGAAACAGGATTCTTTCTATGGATAATATCTTAAAAGGATATTTCATGACAAAAAATAACTTAAACAATATAAGGGAAAGCAACAGAAAACGTATCCATACCATGACATGAGAGAAATGTAGAGCAACTATGGCTATACAAGCCAATCCTATCAAAAGAATACAAAAGCCTAGAAGTAAACCATCAGACGGGGGTCTACCATTCCACCATTGTAATGCTTCAAAAATTGTTTCACGGCAAAACCAGACTGATAATGCAACCACTGCAGCATGTGCATAGCCTTGCCAGGCTTTCATCTTTGATGCTGTTCTTGACTTATCCCTTCAAATTTTATAAATTGAACGCAAAGAAAAAACACTGCTTTCATCTCAATGTAACAATTAACGAGAGAGAGAGAGAAAGAGAGAGAGAGAGAGAGTGCCTACCTGTAAAGAAGCAATGGAGGCGAAATAGCCAACAAAAGGACAGCAGATACCCACACAACAGACTTTGATGTAATAAACAACACAGCCAGCTTCGAGGAATACAGACAAGTCAAAATCCAAACAGCCTTGGGTCCAATTCGATGATCCACAAATAGTCTTCGCACAAGTGCAAAGCCAACCAATGTCGTCAGGATGACCATGTAGCTTGGATACATTACATCATCATCCAATCCATAATAGTATATGCTTGAGTAACTGAAAAACCGATTCTCAATGTAGCATAGAAGCAATGCATGGCTGATTAAACCAACTTCAGTCAAAAAATGAAGTTTCGGAGGAAGAAGGGCTAAACCAGGAACAACCATGGCTAGAAGAACATCCAAAACAAGTAGTTTACAAAAGGATTTCAAGGACATGCCTGCCAACCATATATTTAGATCCCAGCAATTATGTAGCACAAACCACATGACCATCAAGCTCCCAAGCACAACAAAGGCAAAATAAGATTGAAGGCTCTTCTTTGTAAAGAAATGAGCCAAGTAAAAGCCAGCAACTGAAGGTAATGGAATAAACTGCAAAACAAGGTACAAATATCACTAAAACTTCTGGACATTTAAATAAGAGTTCCTTTCTTTTCCCATCTGTCTTTTGACAAAAATTCATTATATTAGCAAATATTAAAGAGAGATCTAAATATTAGTCGTAAACTCAACATTCAACACTATATGGCATATTTTTTTATTCTGGAAAAAGTAAAATAGTTTTATTAATAAATGAAGTTGAAATACAAATTTCAACAAAAAGATATCCCAAAGCATAGCCAATATGAACCAACCCAAAAAGGACAACTCCAATTATGGTACATCATACCTAACAAATAATTAAATAATTCAAATCTAATGAGGCTAAAACAATCAGGTAACAAGAAGAGAGCCCATCGTAGGCATTCTGTCAAGCATCCATAGAGCATAAACGACAACTCATTAAAAATGCACACACTATTTGCAGCTATCCCCAAGAAAATAGCCAACTTCACCCTTCGATATCAACTATGTTGCCTCATAGAACCAACCTCCAAGGAGTCGCCATTCTGGAATTAAATCCAAGCTACCAAATTTTCAGTGCAATTCACACCAGCATTTACAAGCCGACCTCATTTATCAAAACACACAGACAAAACAATAAAAAAAAAAGGTGGTTGTTCTCACTTTCACATCAATTAAACATGGTAGATGAACTTATGGTTCAAAAAAGGCCCCAAGGATCTATGAAATATGGACATGGCTCTAACCTTCACGTATTCGTGTCGAATAGGTGTCTGTATCAAACATGTGTATGACAAAGCCAAATACGTACTAGACACTGTCGGATATGCAAGAAAAATAAAAAATATCGTATATAGACGGAAATAGGAGGGCCACCGCAATGAAAGGGTAAAAAACTCTCTGTTATTGGTGGCGAAGATACAAAATAATGTCATTGATTGCTAACCAGAGAAATAGAAGAGAAGAGAGAGAAAATTGAGAACAAAACTATCTTCCTTTTTATGGCCTTAGATGGAGCTGAACTATGTGGGTGAGACTCTATTTAGTGATGAAAAGTTGGAGAGAAGATAATCCATGGAAGAAGTCGAAGGAGATGAGCCATTGTTTTGTTCAATAAGGCAATTCAAATTGCCACAATGTTAGAAAGAAAGAGAATAGTGTCTATAAAATGGATGGAACTTGGGTATAATATGGGGTTGGGTCAAATGGGTTTTTGGTTGGATGGCTTAAAATTTTAGTGTAATAACTTTTGAGTTTATAAGAATATCAGGCCAAGTTTATTTATAATATCCAATGCAATTATAAAATAACATAGAAATTTTATAACAACAAAATATTTTCTAGAAGTAAATTTTAGATATTTTTAAAATAATTTTATTGCACGTTCAAAATTAATAAAATTACATAATATTTATGCATATTTATATATTTATTATATTTTAATTCCCATATAGCTTTTGTGTTTTGTCCTAATTTTTTGGAAATTACCTGTGCCCGTGTCCATGCTTCCTAGCCAAGGACTTGATGAATGATACCAAGTACATTCCATATTTATATATTTATTATATTTTAATTCCCGTTTTGTGTCTTGTCCTAATTTTTTGCAAATTGGCCATGCCCATGTCCGTGTTTGTGTCCATGCTTCCTAGCCAAGGATACTTGATGAATGATACTTCATACATTCCATAGATGTTCTAGGAAGTCAATCATCTGCACTCAATTATATCTTGCTGCCAACAGCCTTTGAAAGTCCTCTTTCGGATTTAGTAACATCTGCTGCACTTCCCCAGAAATTTAACAAGAAAGCCAATTGTGAATATTGTTGAAAGAAGCATGGGATGATCTACAATCTAGTAAGCATGGAAACAGACACAAGAAAAGGGGACCAAACGAGACGATCAAGGCGATACGACAATTTTTAAAAAATTAGGATATGACATGAAAGGATACAACAATTAAAAATAACAAAGTATATATATTATGTAAGTTTATTAATTTAAAATTAATTATAACCAACATGCAGTAAAATTCTTTCAAAATACATAAAATTCACATAAATATTTTGTTATTACAAAATTTTAAGGTAATTTTATAATTGTATTGGATTATTATAAATAAATGTGGTCCAATAATTTTATAAGCTCAAAATGTAATTTCCTAATAAGGTATTAAGCCATCCAATAAAAAAAACATATGACCCAACCCAAAATATATTATTCTCAAGTGCCATCGAATTTATAAACACATTTTGTTTCTTTCTTTTTAAATGATGTGCAGGTTGGTTGCCAGGTTGAACAAAACAACTCATCTCCTGCCACTTCTTTCTTGCATCATCCTCTCACCAACCTCTTCTCACTAATTGTAGTCTCACCCCATTAGATAGACCCCATCTGAGGCCACAAGAAAAGGAAGATTGTTTTTTTTTTCTCAATTTCCCTCCTTACTATTATTTCTTTGCTCAGTAAATAGTGACACAAACCTTTTATATCCTTACCTCCATAAGCAAGAATATTTTCACCCTTCGTTGTCATGTCTACACCACATCCTTCATGTGACCATGCCATGCCTAAAATAACAGCTTTGTTTTCAATTTTTTTGGACATATCCAACAGTATCCAACACATATCCAGCATTTCAAATGCTTGTCTAAACCAGACATATAGTCGAAATGAATACGTGGAGGTCGGAGTTGTGTCAATGCTTCATAGTCTATTATCAAAGAATATCTTACTCAACTACCTAACAGCCCTAGGCATGAAAAGCATTGATACCACTAATTCTATGTGTGGATATTATAAAATTCAAAATCAAACATGGGAACAAGGGGTGCATACAGTTCAATTCCGATTCAGATATTCAAAAATTTTTTAACCAAATCTCACTATTCAGTTTTTTAATTTCACAAACTGAATCTGAACTGCACATTGTAAAAATCAAATGGAGAACCACCAAATATCTAGAAACGATTACAGTTAAACCTGGATTTTTTTTATAAAGAATTTTCTTATGAATTCTTCTTTGAGAAAAAGTAACATACCTTACTCAAATTTTAAAAATTCAATAAGAATGCAAAGCCTAAATTAAAAATATTGAGAATAATATAAAACCAAAGAGATTTGCAAAAAATACAATACACAAGAATATATAGATATTTTTAGATCTCTCACAGCTTCATGAATAGATTTGGATCATTAAATCTAAGTTTTGGAGTTGTGGAGAGACAAATATGAGAATAAACATGAAGAAAATGATAAGAAAAATAAATTAAAAAAAAAAAAAGAAGAACAAAGAGAGAATGTGATCAGAATAAACTGGATGTGCTCTGTGCAAATGAAATAGAAGAAGGTAAGGAGAGAGAATATGAAACATATATACCAAATTCAAAGACTTTTCATGAAAAACAAAGTGTTAATTTTGACACTATATATATTTTTAGTTAAAAGAGCTACCCATTCTGATGATGATGAGTGAATGACATAACTTTAAAGTCTTCATGCTTTGAAAAATGCAATTCATGTGACCAGAGCAATAAATTACCATTAAATAATAGTTTATTGTAAGCAGCCTTCAGAGTTTTCAAGGGGAGGTTTTTTCTATCAAAGGCATTTTATGAAGATTTCTTTTAAATTATTCATGTAACGTGTGGTTTGATTGGGGTTACTATGGTTTTCATATTGAAATCCAAAATCAAATGCAAACCTTGGTTATTTATTTTAAAAACTGAAACCAAATTTATATAAAAGCCCGATCAGAATTGAACCAAATGACTTCAAATTGATTCAGTTTTCAGTTTATTTGCTCAGCCGTAATGGGAATCAGTTCCTTTTCATTCTATATGACCTAGCTAGTGAATTTGTTACACAAACTTTGCGTATGGCACATTGAATCTTGCCTTTAGCAGCTAGCAACAATGCTAGTAGCTAAGTTTGCTCCGTAACTAACCACATGCAAATCGCTTGTGTAGATTGACAGCCACTATTGATGTTACTGATGGCTAGTGCCAAATTTAGTAGGTTCTTTCCAAAGTTGACCAATACTATAATATTTCCATATATTTTCACAGGAATAACCGGCACATTTATGTGTACAGGGTATATATTTTAAAAAATACCTGTCATACACGAAATTGCTACAAAAAATCCAGTAGAATGAGTAATCACTGAATTTTAACTATATTATCTTCTTATGCCAAGGCAAAGTTCTGCAATAGAGTTTCTACGTTCCACAAGCAAGTTCACACTCAGCATACCGGCTTAAATTTCAAATGCTATACAAATTTTCTGTTACGCTAGTCCAAGAACATATTAGGAGCTAACATACAAAATGAAACATGAGCCAGTAGGCAAAACAAGTAAAGAAAAATAACCTAGCAATGACAAAGTAGCACTTCAATAAAAACAAAAAATAATTACCATATATCATGATCGTGCACAGAACAGTAATCAAGCGAATTCGTTTGAAATAAGGCAAAGAAAGAAACAAAAACATACCAGTATTGGAAATCCAACCACAATGGCCCCAGCAGCACTGACAACAACAGCCAAAGAAGTGAAGGCCAAAACGCTAAATGCATCCGATATCATTCCCAGTGCATAAGAACCAGCTCCAGCAGCCCCTCCAAGCATTGTAGTAGTAACAAGAAGATAATTTATGGGTGGTGGCACCTGAATGTACCTCCCAAACGAACGAAACACAACTCTAATCTCAAGGCAAATCACAACAACAACCAATGTAATTGCACCATTGACTAACTGTATGCTACGCAGCTGGTGAGCATTTTTCGTGACCCACCACAATGCCCCTCTTGTTGAAGCATATAATTGGAATAAGAAAGGAATAAAGAAAAGAAGAAACAAATCACTGACAGAAGCAGCCGACGAGAACATCACCTTGTAATGCGATGCGATATGGAAAATGAGAGGAAAAAACAGTAAATTCAAAGTATGGAGACAACTCTCGAGTGGACCAAGAATCAAATTATCATCAGGAATCTCTCCACCATGATACTTTACTTCTTGTTTAGTTTTAAAAGAAGAAACTCTAGGAATTGCGAAAACCCAATAGAAAACGCAATTGAAAGCCATTAGATAGTAAGAGGCATTGTTCATACCTACAGCGGAGACGGTAGCCCAAGTGAAGATTGAAGAAGCGGCAAAAGGAACGCAGGCGAAGAGGAGCCGCTCCAAATCTAGGACAATCGACGGGTTTTCAATTTGAATCCACTTGAACTGAAGCGAAGCCCACACGCCAATAAGGAAGTTCGTTTCGGCGCAGAGAAAGGCGGCGACGATGGAGAGAGGAGAGGAATTGAAAGAGTAGTAAAGAGACGCGCTGAAGAAGAAAGCGATCTGAGCGGCGAGTAGAGAGAACCAAACGCCAAAGAAAGCGCCGGATTTAAAGTTGAGCGAATCGATGATGTAAGTGATCATAAGTCCTAGGGTTAGGGTTGCAATGACGGGGGCTCCGCCGAGGTCGAAAAGGAATACGGCACAAGGGACGAGAGCGATGGCGAGACGGGCGTTGTGAGCGAAAGAGGAAGGAGAGAACCGGGAGTTCTTGAGAGATCGAGAGGAAGAAGGGGAGGATCGGTCAGAGTTGAAACTGGAGATAGGGTTGGGGTCGGGGTCGGGGTCGGGTTCGGGTTCGGAGGCGGAGTAATGGGAAGAAGCATCGTTGAAGGAAGATAATGAAGGGGCGCTTATTGACGATGAGATGTAGGGTCGGAAGGAGCGGGGTTGGAGCGCCGGCGGCATCATTTTCAAAGGAATATGAGAGGGCAGATCGAGTACGGTCTGATCCAAGTATAAACGTGGCGCTACGTTATGGGCAACCTGAAGAAAATACAGGGGAAAAGAGGAGAGAGATCACTGTTCACACTGCGCAGCGGTTCATTTTTGTGTTTGGACAGGGGAGGAACGGGAACCGTTGGATTGGGAATTAGCAAGTAAAAGTTAAGGTGATAACCTATGCTAACTGGATCCGTGGGCATTCAGTGAGAGTTGACAATTTGTAAATCCGACAGGATTTTACTGTTGTAAATGGAAAAGTCTACATCCAAACTTGCAAGACTATAGATTTCATTGACTTTCGTAGTTGTATTACAGTTATTGTTTATAGCGTTTTGGGTGAAGGTGACTTGGTCGATAAGTTAGAAGACAACTTTGTCGGTGTAAATGAATAGATAATGAATCGTTTTGTAAATATATTTTATTTTTATTTATTTATATTTATTTATTAAGTTTAATAAATAATATTGAATAATATTTTTATATTTATTTGTTAAATAAATTAAATATGAATGGAGATATATTTGATTTATTAATATTTGTAAATAAATTTTTTTAAAATTTTTTTAAAATTTGTTTGTTTATTATTAATTGATTATTTATTTATTTATTATTCGTTTATAATAATATTAATAAAATTATATTTTTATTTTATACTTTAATTTTATTTTAAAATTTATTTATATTCATTTGAATTAATTTATATTCGTTCAAGATTTGTTTATTTAAATTTGTTTAGTTATAGTTTATTTGTTATTTATAAATATGTTTGTTTAATATGTTTATGAACATACTTATTCAGTATTCAACGAATCTCTTTAATTTAATTAAACCGAATGCAAACATTTTACTACTTAAAACAAATCGAACATAAATGAACAAAACAATTTTATTATTGAACATTGATTGAACTTAAACACTTTTAAAAATAAACGAACAAGTCATAAATATATGTATGTTTGTTTATATTTGATTCATTTACAATTTTGAACAAATTGAGATTAATCTTGATATATAGTAAGAAAAACACGAGTAAAAATATCGTAATTTGTTTTTTAGGACAAACTTCGATGCTAAAGTTGACAAAATGTGGGGTATTAGAGTTTTGGAGGAAAAAGATGAGTCATAAAGAGTACTAAGAAAGCTTAAAGATTAAAGATTTAGAACAATGTACTTGAATTTTTTTTTTATCTTATATATGATACGTGAGCGATAACAAGACCAAAATAAGTGATAGCTGATGAGAATTTTATGTGAAGCTCAAGAAAAGTTTAGTTGGATAAGCATTGTTGCATTTAATGATTTTAACAAGTTGAATTATTTTAAGGTAATGTATTGACAAAACGTTAGTGGAAGTAGTTAGATAAGCTATCTCTATGGACGAAGAAGTCCTGGTAAGCGACTAATTCAAGGGTGAGCCTATATGGTGGTAAGGTGCTTAGGCGTCGACCTTCCTTAGTAATGGGTGGCAGTTAAGTATGTACTGACTCGGTGAGTGTGAAGGTTGAACTTATTGATTAGATAATTGGCATACCAATTGCCTCCCAGGTCTGATGGGGTTATAAGTGACTGCCCTTAAACCTTTATTTAAATGGGCAATCAAGCTTAGAAAGTGTCGAGCGGCCTTTGGTAGGGCGAACCATTTTAACGACTGTGAGAGAGGTGGTACGGTGAACCATTTTGATGGAGAGCCCATTTTAGCGAGCCTTGGTATTGATGTGTTTAGACGAGCTACAAGGGGCAATAGATGGGGACTAGGAAAAATTTTTGTCTTGTTTACTGTGGAGTGCGCGTGATGCGGGTAAGTCAAGCTCGTCATCAGGCGCGTTACAGGTCACGCAATCGCTTTTCTGATTGATACGGTTGTTTCATACACATGGAGCCAGGGGGTTCGAATGGTAGTGGCGGCATTTATTTCTTTTGAATTTTAAATGTTTGTTTTTTAACGGGAACACAATTAAAAAATTGAAAAATGTGGTTTGAATAAATGTGTTTTATTCAAAAAAGGGCTAACTGAAAGACTGGCTTGGTTTGGTGGATTTAATTGAATCGTTTTAATTGAAACGTTTGGGTTAGTATAAACAGGGGAAAGAAAGGGTTTTGGAGTTACTTCACTGTTTTCTAGCAAGAGAATGCTTTATGTTGTCTGGTTTATTGTGGGTGTCTTCTACAAATCTCAATATGTGGGTAAGTTCAAAAAAGTTTTCTCTTTTCTTGTGTCTAATTTTAGTGTTTAAGGGTGAGAAAAATGGCACCAAAGAAGAAAAATATTGTGGTGGAAGATAGTGATCATGAGGAGAGCATTATGGCACCGATTGCTGGGAGTTGGAATGGCAGTGGGGCTCAAGGGACTTAAAGGGTTAGTAGCTAGGGCCGAGGGAGTGGGTTATGATTTGGGAAGGGGTGCCCCAAGATACGGCGAAAGGGGTGTCTTTAATGGCTATAAGAGGAAAGGGCAGGAAGTTGTAGTAGAGGAGCTGATGATTCTATAAAATATCGTAGGGTTTTTTTATGTAAATTATAACATTTTTATATTTGATTTTTACTTGATTAAATCCATTTTTTACCTAAAAGTGTTAATTATCCTAATTGTAGGCAATGGAAGATTGAGTTGAATTAATTGGAAATGCATTTGAAGGGTTAAATTCAAATTTAAGTGACTGAATTAAAGAGTTAAATTTAGAAGGCAATTGGTGCCAGAAGCTAGCTTAAGACTAGAAGAAAATAAGACATTAGTGGTGTCACCTGTAGGTTATCTTTTGGGTTGATTATTGCAAGATTTGAAGCTATTAAATAGGATGAATTGAAGCTAAACTTAAGCAACATTGGATGGGATTTAAATGTTCATTTTATAGGCTAATATTGGAAGCAAAAACTAAAGCAAGGACCCAAGGTAGTCATGGTTTTATAGGGTTGGGCAGTATGCATTTTGTTTGGTTTCAAGGCTACCTATTTTGATTCTTTTTAAGCTAGATGGGAATGCTTGAGCTGCATGGGGATGCAAAAGATGAATTTCAAACCTTAAAGAAGCCTTGAAGAGGTTGAGAAGCTACCAAGACCATAAGCTAATGCAAAGCCATGTGTTCCTAAACTGTCCAAGCCGAATCTAGGCTTGAGTGAGCTGCCTAAACTGTCCAAGCCGAATCTAGGCTTGAGTGAGCTGCATGGAAATGCATGTTCTACCATGGTTGATTCGTTACAATTTTAAAGGGAACTTTGGAGCTAAATCTTCAAAGCTAACTTGAAATTTTCCTCCTCTCCCATTGGATGGCAAGGGGGCACAAGAATCACCACGACCTCATGTAAAAAAGGAGCCAACTTTGGACTGCCAATTAATATCCAATGCTGCAATATTTCTTCTACTGTTGTATCCTCTTAACTTTTTAGGGTTTTGTAAACGTTTTTTGCTGCAAAAATCAAAGGGGAACTGATAATTCTAATTTTTATAGAATTATTATGAATTTATTTGATTTAATTATGGCAATTACTTGATAATTTTTGCTTGCTTCTTAGCAATTTAATTTAATTATCACCAAATTTTATTTAATTGTCCATCGTATAGGTCACTTAAGTGATTAAAATGACTTAACATGTGAGTGATCAAATTGGTTAAGAGTCCATGGCATAAGAACACAAAAATTAATTGCTGCATATCACGGTTCTTTTTGTTGAATTGGTGCTGTCACAATTAGTTCCTAACTTTGATGTGCACTTGGCTTATGATGAAGATATTAATGGTGAATGATAGACACCTAAATAGTTGTTACATTCATGCAAGAAAGGAGAAGAAGCCAGCCGGACATGCAACAAAAAATTTCTCCAAAGAAATGACGACTCGATGCTGGCAGCTTCTCCAATTCTGCTGCTGCTTCCTTCTTATTGATCACGGTTTGGGGATCTAAGGTTGGTGCTGAATTGGCTAAAGATCAAGGCAACAGCCGGACATCTTTGCATGATCAAGGGAAGACTTTTATGGGTAAGACTCATGCATTTAATGGGGAGAAGCCTTGCAAAAAAAAGGGGAACGGCACCAAGTGTAACGTCATTTTTCCTGCTCTGTTCTTCTCCAAGTAGCAGCAGCAGTTTAGCTATTGTTTTATCATCTTTCTATTAGCTTTTCCTTTGTATTTTGTCCTAATTCCTTCTTCCTTTATTTCCCTTATCTAATATATGATTTAATATGAAAGTTTGATGGTTTAAACACATAAAACAAGCTTGGAAGAGGGCCAAACAGCGCTGCCTATCTTCCCATGGCAGTCACGATTTGAGCCCTTCACGGATTTCATTTCCTTTATTTTTGTTAGCAGCTTTTGTTGATTTGGATTCATGCTTTACCTCTTATTTTGTAACTTATTTCAGTTTTAAATTTAGAGTGTGTTATTCAAGTTCTTATGCAGTCTTTGGTTTACATCATTTCGGTTTGTTTAAATTACTTGCTGGTAGTTATAGTTTCATTTCTTTTTAAGTATTTCCCTTACTATCATCCTGTTATTTTAGTTATCTTTAAGTTAATATGTGCTTGTTCAAATGCCCATTTCCAGTTCACATCCATTTCAATGTTATTTTGTCATCGGTTAGGAGATAGTTGCTTCCACCTTTTACGTTGGCTGTGTTGGTACATTTCTGTTGATACCTGAATGTTGTCTGTTTTGGTTTAATGTAGTAGTTTTATCTTTTGATGCTATTTTACATGTACTTAGTTTGTAAGTGTTGTTTAGATGTTTATTTAAGTTAGTTGCCTTTGATATTGTTAAATGTAAGTGTCATGTAATTTAATTTCTTGCAATTTAAACACCAAGTATTTTAAAGTTTGTCTTTTATTTTTAATTCAATTGTCTCTATTTTCATTTTCCTTATTTAAATTTATTAACTTTAATTTTCTTTGCAATTTACTTTACTCCCACTTTATATTTTCAGGCAATTTAATTTCCATGTAATTTAATTTTAAGTCTTTAAATTTCATGTCCTCATTTACTTTTTATTCTTTTTATTTTTCATGCTCTTTAAATTGATGCCATTTAAATTTTCATGCATTTTAATTATTTGCCATTTAATTTTAATGTTTATTTAAATTTTCAAACTATTTAATTTTTGTAGATTTGAATATACTTAGGTGCCCGATTTTAGTATTTAGCTTTGGAAACAACTGCAATCCTTGAGAGATTATACTAAAAGTTAATACTTCTATTTTATTACTTGTATGACCCATATACTTGTGGTGTGCGCAACAAGTTTTTGGCACTTTTTCCAAGGAATTGTAGGTGTAGTTTAGAGCTAATATTAATACCA